TCCTCTTCCAGGGGTGTGAATACTTTGAACCAAGTGGTTTGCCATACTTATGTGTAACGGCAGAAGTTTGGCTAGCTGTTAATGTATGTGGATTGACCAAAGTGACGTCCCAGGCCTCTAGGAGGGAAGTCCATCGTACATTGGTACATCCATCTTTGCAGGCACATTTGCAGTTGGAATATGAGATCTTGTCACTCGCACTAGAGTGATGAAAGCATCTGGCATGCTTTGAGCTACGCTTTAGTCTCAGACTGAGTGGTACGGGGATCTCAATGAGACAAAGTGGGAGTCATCCATGATAATTCACGTCGTTCTTATCTCCCTTTAACAATGGGAAGACTGTCTCATAGAAGTGACAATCTGTGAAACGAGCAGTAAACAGATCACCTGTCAAAGGTTCTAAGTAATGAATGATTGAATAGATTCCCATCCTTGTGGTGATCAAAACAATCAGCCAAAGCGACCCAGAGTGCTTGTGGATCCTCCTAAGCAAGGTACTCGATTTGCAGTGCATCATGAATGTGTCTTCAGATGAAGATCATGGCCGTGGCTTTCTCAGCTTCGCCAACCAAGTTGTCCACCTCATCTTCAATGGCGGGACATAAATTCTTTGCGGTGAGGTGGAGCTTCACATCTTAGACCCACTTGAGGTAGTTCCTTCTAAAGACCTTGATAGGAGCATATTTAGGTGACTTGGTTGGCTTGTTCTTGTGCATTTACGTTGTTATTTCTTAGTTCTTTAAGTCTTTTAAGTCATTTTCGTATGTTTTCAGGTTCTAAGGGCTAAATGAGCAAAGAAGTGCATTTTGGAGCCTTTTGGAGCACTTTTGGGCTAAAGATAGATAACTTATGCTTGGAGCCAAAGTATTGGACGAAATTGAAGATCAAGTGAGCCTAGAATCGAAGAAAGAAGGAGGAATCAAGAATTGGAAACCAGTTTCCATTATGGGGAGTTTCTATTCTTGAAAGGTTTCTAATTGTGCAAGTTTCCAAATAATGTTGGTTGCCTAAATCACATGTTCTAGAAGCCCTAGACATGTCCTAAATTGTGCCGCACCTTACCTTCCTTTTCTCTCCCAAAATCTGCAAGATTATGTCACAATCCCTTTCTTAAAAGTCTTAGCCGCACCTATATATTCCCTTTCACTCAAAATCTGCAAGTTTTGCACTTTCCCCTTCTTTTCCCCCTTTTGCCGCAAGACTTAGCCTTTTCCCCTAATTCCTGATTTCAATTACCTATTCTAAAGGGATTTAACTTAATTCCTGATTCTTAGAATTGATTTGGGGAATTAAACACTTACTTATTTCCTATGCAAGCCTTGCCGTGCAAGGGAGAGGGTTCTTTCCTATTTCTAGAGCCTTTGACTTAATTTCTGATTACCTAAATAACCTAGGGTTTTAATTCCTGAAATCATATAAATAAACATCCTTGTTGCAGCCACAAAACTCTCCATTCATTCACCATTCACGCCAGAAATTCATCCTATCCCTCTAACACATCCATACTTCACCATTCTCCATATTTTCTGCCCAAAATCAAGCCTTGCTGTCCCCTACATCCATCCCAACCCTAAATCCATCATCCCACATCATCCATAACCCCCTAAACTTACCTTAACCCTTGTTCCGCAGCAATTAGGAGAGGAAGGAGACCTTGAACGGTTCATGCTTGCAGATTGGAGCGTTCTTAGGTGTACTTCGTTCTTGTTTTTGATGTTTACTTTGTTATTACTTTCTGATTTTGCTGTAATCATGAGTGGCTAAACCCCTAATTAGTCAGGGGAAAGTTTGAAGCCATGAACATGTTTGAGATATGAATTGATTTCTTCCAATTGTGGTTTGTTAAGTTGTGATTGCAATTCAATTATCTGTTTTATTCAAAACTTGTTCTTGTATGTTGATTAAGGATGCATACTTAGTTTTCATGCATGAACTTGATGCTAGTTTATAAACGAGTTTCACCTAATCGTCACAAGTTTATAAACATGAGTAGTGAAGGTTGCTAGTCACAACCACGTTAATTGAATTCTTGGCAAGAGTATCATGCATTCATAGTTACAATTGCCTCGTCAACACTTATGATTTTCATAGAGCATAATGATCTCTCATTGTATCTCTTCTATGCATTCATGTTGAGGACCGTTGGAGAATAATTTGAATTGTCGCATGCATCATCCAATTCAATGACATAAGGAAAATTTGAGGGTTAATTAGTGCATCACGGTTAACTTGGGGTGTTGAGCATCATAGTTAGTGAAAAGCAATTGGAGAATCGATTCATATACAAATGTGTCATGTGTGGAGAATGGACCTCTAACTAATCCATCCATCATCTTGTTTTCAAGGAATTCGTTCTACAATCTGTCTAGTTTTATAACTTGTTTTGTTATTTCAATTTTCGTCAAATCAAAACCCCCCTTTACTTTCTTGTTCTATAGTGTTTAGAATCTGTTTAATTTGTGTTTTAAAGTGTTTTGAATCAACCTATAGTCCAAAATTGTGTTTAAGGTCAGAAACTGCCTAGTTAGTGTTTTTAGGCAGTTTTGAGTCTTTTGAACCTGTTTTGAGTCCTTTGAGTCTTTGTGAACGTTTTTCAACTTTGTTTTTATGTTTTTGAGTCAGTTTAGAGGTTTTAGCAAGCCCTCCTAATCCCCGGTCTAGAACGATCCTTACTTGCATCCTTACTACAATTTGACAACAAGAGGGTTAATTTGTGTGCTTAACTATTTTCGCATCAGACCTCTAAAGTGGTGAAGTCCAATTTGTTCAAATTCGACATGGTCTTATCACAAAATAAATGGACAAGATGTGATTAGTGTAATGGAGAAAAAGCAATCCATTCACATAGAAGTAGAACATTCAAGTTCTAATAGACATGTATTGGTTTAAATTTACATGAAAAAGTTTCGGGTTTTCATGGGTGATGTTTTTAAGGAAAACTTAAGGTTTTCAAACAAGGCACGTTTCTAAATGAACTTCAGGTTCATATGTTTCTGTAGACAAACACAAATATATATATATATATATATATAAAGAAATATGCAACAAGAAAATATGCAAATAGATATTCAATATCTTTTATTATAATTGAATTAGTTATTTGGATTTCGGACCAACATTGATGTGTGGGTGAAAAATTATCAAACCCAAATTGTCCAAAAAAAATAAAAATAAATTCGGGGCCCAAAAACATGGGCCAAAGCCTATGGGTGGGCTGAGAATGTTTAAACAGTGTGGCCCAGGACCAAAATTTGGGCTAGGGTAAATAGATATGGGTTGTAGGCCCAATATATTGAAGGCCCAGATGGGCATGGATTCGATGTGATGCAGTGCAGTGCACCAATTCTCCAGCAGCGAGCTGGGATCGTGTACAACATTGTGCACAGGGACACCAAAGCCCAATTGGGCTAGTGTCGTTCGTGGGTTGAGGGTCCAGTTTAGCCAAATGGGCTGTTTGGATTTGGGTTGTGGCAACAAAGACAACTAGCAGCCCAAAAAAAAAAGGTGTTGTGCGATGCAGGCCTAAGGGTCCGAGGCTCACTAGGGTTCAGATCGAGAAATCCAGAACACCCTAGCGGCGCTGGGTGTGGGATTCGAACTGGAAAAAATCTCCAGCGTCGCTTCAGGCGACTTCCCTCGGTCGGTCACAGCACAGCAAAGCAAGGGGGTTTAATTAGAACCCTAGTTTTGGACGAAAGCCTAAGTTTCGACGTTGGGGGGGTTTGAGCAACTGTGAGGATTCGAATAATCCTTCGAAAATTCATTGATGGTTATCGAATTTTTCGAGAAACCAATCATCTTTAACGATGGTTAGGTCCCAAAAACACTACTGCGGGTTGTGATGTCCAAGAGAGACGGTGGTGAGGCCGTGGCCAATTACAGGCGGCAGTTGATTTTGTGGGTTCGATGCCAAAACAACGTTGTCATCTCAGATGGAGCATTGGGGGTTTTGCTCCAGTTCATCGCAGCTCAAGAAGGCTTGCGTGAGCTCGAGTTTTGAATTTAGCAAACCCTAAATTTTTTTTGTATTTTTTCAATTTTCAAATTCATTCAATGCATATTCAATTAAATAATTCAATGCATGGACATATATTTGATGCAATTCATGGCAATATCAATTCACATAATTCAACAATTATGTATATAATGCATACACAATTTATGTAGAATCTAAAATTCGAAAAACGTAAAGTTGGATCCTGCATTATGGTGAATGTTCATGCTATCAGGACTGCAAAAAAACATCGCGATAAAAAACCGTTGTTTTGAAATAACTTGATTGCGTGATGATATTGGTGAATTGGTTTGATGCAGAAAACTTCCACGTCAGATTCCTAAGCGCAGCGGTAGAAGGGTGCTTATAATGTGTTGTGGCCTATATTTAACTAACAGGGAAAAAGAGGGCCAACGGCACATAGAGAATATAGGGAGAGATGTGTTTGTAAGGTTTTGTAGAGGATGTGTTATTCCCCCTACACAGTGCCTTTAGTTATAGTAATAAGGGAGAGAAGAAATCATTCTCCTCTAAGGAATACCAGTCCTAATAGGAAGGAATAACTAGAATCAAATATAATCTAAAATTTACACAATCACACTTAAATAAGAAGTTTATAACAATAATCATCCATTTTTTTATTATTTATTTTTAAAAATTAACTGGTACAAAGAATTGAATCAATTATGTCAACCATCTAACCATAATTGGTTCAAATAATTGAATCAATTATGTCAAGCATCGAACTATAATTGGTCCAAAGAATTGAATCAAATAAATGGTTTGTAGAACACTACCCTGTCAAGGGAACGGATGCTTTTCTTCCGATTGTGCCATGTAGACATCTTGACTAATTTGATTCCGCCATGATTCTAAGCATCCCTCCCAGGGAGACAGTATCCGGTTGATATAACAATACACAAAGGCGCCTACATGAGTATTTTTGTGACTATTTAAGCGCGCGGCTGCGGCTGCTGCTGCTATTTTTTCCCTATCAATAAAATAATTACAACCAAAATACAGTTATGGATAAATTTGGTCTTTGGAATGCATACCAATTACCAAGTTCAAAGTGGATTTAACGAGACATTAGCCTACCAACCATAGGATATAGTGAATACATTTATCCTATGCAATCGTATAAAAAACCATACTACCACACTCTAATGCAGTATCAAACTGATGATACAGTTTTCAGGAAATAAACATTAAGAAACTAAAAATTAAACCATATAGGGCTCTGAATAACCTTTCTTCATCTAAAATTGACTCATTCATCCCCGAGATCCGTTCTGCACAATCAAAGAAGAGATGATGAGGAGTCAACCATGATTAATCTTCCTTCAGTTTCAACCATCAACAATCACAAGTCAGTGAGATAGTATCCTTTAAGTAAAGATCGACACAACCAACAATATTCACTTAAACATTGCCGTAAATTAATTAATTAGTCTAGACATGCATCGTCTTCTAGATAAACATGTGCTACTTGCATAGCCACCGTCACCATAATGCCAGTTAGTCTTCGCCCGTAAATTGCAACTTCAAACATCAAGAAAATTTAGCCAGACACAACGCAAGTGATTCAAAATACTCTTTAACTCAAATGAATCTAATGCAAATGACACTGCCTACTTTATGACAATATATGATTATTATATTATCTTGTGAAATAGTGATGCAAACCACAATCTCCAAATAACACCAGGAAATCATATAGAAATTGGCATACCTTGCCACAATATGACAAGCGTCGAAGTCCCCATAGTTCAAAGTCAAAATCCACAATAGGGTTCTTGAATCCCAAAATTGTCGTACTGTTTCAACCTAATCTATAAATTAAAGTGGTAATGTCCATCAGACATTCAAGGGGCAAAAACACTCCTACTTCAATACGCTATAAGTAATACACATTGCTTGTGTCAATTTGCCTATTGGGTAAAATTGATGCTGCGAAGTCACAACTTTTCTAGTTGTAAGTTATGCAGTGTATGTATTATCTTACTGCTTCTAAAAGAACCCTATTCAGGCATCAAATCGAAACAAAGTAACTTTTATTGTTCATACATCCAGCTTTCACCTAAGGCACATTGTTGACTCTTTCGATCACTAACTTACCATGCTATAAGTCTCTCCCAATACAGTTTTTGTATAACTAGATAATCCCAAATTCACATGACACTTATAGCATTTTAGAGTAGTGATCCGTGGCGTCATGTTAAAACAACCAAAAAGAGCAGATTATACGAGAAAAATATTCCTCTTTGTCGGGCTCAACCATCATCTCAAAGAAACAGCAAATACATCATTATAACCACTCATCCCTCCCGATTTTCTTCGTACTTAGTTTCAAATATGATATCAAATTATCAATGTATGCAATAGCTTCTAACCTATTTCAAACAACACCAACGAGCAACGATCAAATTTATCCCAGAACAACAACAATACAATCAGTCAAACAATTATTCAATTCATAAATTTCTAAATATTAACAACACACAGAGAATACCCTCCTCCTACTATGCCCTTAAAATTGCATACGTTGAAAACCCACCAAAAAAAAAAAAAAAAAAAAAAAAAAAAAAAAAAAAAAAAAAACAAAAAAATCATACAAAACAAACAAACAAACGCAGAAAATAAAAAGAGTGATATGGACTCGAAAATTACTTCACAGAACGAGATGGGCATTAAAATTCAAGTCTGAGCTCGTCCTTTTCACCAGAGAGGAGGTGAAGAACATATGGTGTGGCTCGGATCGCGACGACCCATGCTCCGAACATGGCGACATCGCTCCGCAGCTGCTTCAGAGCCTCTGCCTTGTCAGGCTTCTGCATAAACATGGGAAACATTTTGTTTTCTCTGATTCGGCTTCACTTTCCTGCAAATTGATAAGCCGAACGCAACCTGACGCTTAAAACCCTAAAACCCTAGTTTGTTGCTCTGCGATTCTGTAATTTCGGGGTTAGACAGCTTCGGAGGAAGAAATATGGGCTTCTCAAAATGGCCCTTGAAATAGAAAATTTATTAATTTGGTTTTCAAAGTGTGATTTTTGCAAACGCGATTTCTAAGGTGCGGACAACATTTTGCAGATCGTGTGTGCGGATGGAATGTGGTCTATTGAATGAAAATTGAACGAATGAAAATAAACCCATCAGAATGAGCTTAGGATGAAACGGGGTCATAAATGATTTGTTACTTAATTAAAATGGTACCCGACATAAATTCAAAATTTTTTGGGATTTAAATTTTGTAGGGGGACAAGACTTATTTAAGACAGAAAGTGTGTGATTAGCATGAATTCAAAATTTCTTGGGATTTAAATTGTAATTCCCGACATCAACACTTTCCGTCTTAAGTAAGTCTTGTCCTGCTACAAAGACATTCCCTCCCTTGCGTTTGCTTAAACATCATTGTCGTCGAAAACATCCTTGCCATTTGAAAACTTGCTTGTTGTTCCAAACCCAATTATAATTGGTCTGTGCTTGTGTTGTCCGACCTTACATAAATTTCAGATAGCAGTGAAGAAAATCAGGGGACTTTGGTTAGAGGTTGTGCAGTGGGTTACAAAGAAAGGACGTGCTTTTCGATTCATTCGAGCTGGGTTCAAATTGCTTCCGCGATAACCGTGGTCATATTTTATTCCCCCAGTGAATTTCAAATTTGGTGAGTTTTGAAAATGGAACACTAGAATTTCATTTAGTTATTTATGTTAAGCATTATAAATTAAGTTTGTTGTAAGGTTAATTATGCATGTTCGTGGATGTAATTAGGTGGAATTTGTCGAAATATGTCAATTTTTTTATTTTTTTTATTTTTTTTTTATTTTTACAAATTAAGGTGCGTTGTGAACTTATGAAGTTATGTTGACGGGTTGTGTAGATGCTGGAGCGTGATTTGTTGTTTTGGTAAAGTTGTAGTTTTGAGTAGGGATTGAATTTTGTATCTGAATTATTGTTAATTTTAAGGTGGTAGGGATTGATTTTTGTATCTGAATTATTGTTACTTATATGGTGGGAATTGAAATTGCTTAAGTAATGATGCTCTGTTAACAGCATATGTAAAGCTATGAAGCTTTGGTGACAGGTTGTCGTTAGGTTATGTTTCATTAATTGTTCGTGTGTATGTATTGTTATGTGTATAAGATATGGCAACCCAAGGTGTTCAACTATCAATGAGAGAAGAAGAAGCGTATAGGGAAAGGGTTAACAACCTATCTCATGCCCCCTATGGGTTAGGATTGATTAGGGAGAAGTTTAATAAGGCACAACTTGGTGCCTTTAGGGCAACCTGCTTTGGACACCTTTAGGGTGTGGATGAATTGGCCTTCAGTGGGCAATTCGTCCATGAGTTGTTGCTCCGTAGAGTGGCAAATTAAGGGGTTAAACACCTAGAGGGGCTGGCTTATTTAATAGGTTGTGAATTGGCCTGGTTCACAAAGTAGGACTTTTTCCTTATTACTTGGCTACGATGTGATGAACCCTATGACGTAGAGGTAGAGTCACAAAGGATTAAGCTACTGAGGAAGTATTCTCTCAGGAAATTAGGGTCGGTAGGTGAAAGTAGCAAGGTGAGGAAAGAAAAAGGAAAGGTAAAGCGAAGGCTATCCCCAAGAAAGTCAGCAAAAAAAATATTTGTGACTTACGGCGAGCTTAAAGGGCATTCAAGGAGTGCAAGGATAGGGATGATGCCTTCAAGCTAGGGCTGGTATACTTTACCGAGGCTGTATTGATAGGGGCAAAGACCAACGTTCTTTTGAATCTAGACTATCTCGACCTCATGAATGATATGGATAAGTTTAACAGCTTTGCATGGGGTTCCATCTCCTTTAAATAACTTCACGACAACCTCTCGTTTGCTGCTTCAAGGAGAGGTAGAAGTCGAGTTGATGGGGATGGCAAGGGAGATGAGTGTTGGAAATGTGCCCTAAAACCAATCATATGATGATACTTTATGGACATTTCACATGTTAAACTAATCTAGTTTAATATTGAGGGCAAACATTATTGTTTGAGCCGTCTCATATAAATGTTATATGCTTAAACGATAAGTCCAAGGAATATGTGATTGGGAGAATGCGATCTAAAGAAGTTAGATTCATGAGACCATTCTTTCGTAGACACATCCTAAACGTTCCTGATCATAGGATTGCCAATTGGGCATTGACAGTCCGTTAAGATCAGTACGTGCTGTGTCTTCTCTCAGGGAGAGTGACTAGTCTCGAGTCATTGGTGTGAGTGACACCAAGACAAGCATGTAGGTGCTCAATAGAGAATGAGTTCACTGAACACGATCAACGAGGAGTTCTCATATTCATGTCACATGAGAACTCATGGTTGGGATAATGCAAAGTAGTCCTTTGACCTGAGGCATCACAGCTGTCTTGTGGTTAGGTACTTGATCTTTGATTATGTCAAAGTCACTCTATCAGGGTGTCCACGACATCGTCGGGGTTAAGCCACTTAGCCATGGAGGCAAGTGAATGCGCAACAAGGGATCTCTAACCTTCAAACTATTTGAGGGAGAATACTCTATGATATGATTTAGAATCTCTGGCCAGAGTATGAATGAGATGTTGGAATGCGTTCCAGATCACATTCAAGGTAATCATATAAGCACAAGACTCACATTGGATAGTAGACATGAATTAACTATCAAACCAAACAATGTGGTCAAAAGTATTGTATTAGAGAAAGACCGTATTGCATTTGTAATCCTAAAACTGAATAGGTTCTCCACCTCTTCTGATTAGCTTGGGTAACCATGACATGCTGCTAGGCGTCAACCATGGTTTGTGGAAGCCCTAAAAGTGTATTATCACTAACGGGAGAATTGAAAGTAAGTTTCAATTCACAATCGATTAGAAAGAGTTTTTAATCGCCCACTGCCTCGCTAAAAGGAACCTAATGGATCGTTCACCGAGTAAGGTAGAGTTTGAAGAAACAACTGAGATGAGTAAGAATAATTAAGATGGCAAGGGAGATGAGTGTTGGAAATGTGCCCTAAAACCAATCATATGATGATACTTTATGGACATTTCACATGTTAAACTAATCTAGTTTAATATTGAAGGCAAACATTATTGTTTGAGCCGTCTCATATAAATGTTATATGCTTAAACGATAAGTCCAAGGAATATGTGATTGGGAGAATGCGATCTAAAGAAGTTAGATTCATGAGACCATTCTTTCGTAGACACATCCTAAACGTTCCTGATCATAGGATTGCCAATTGGGCATTGACAGTCCGTTAAGATCAGTACGTGCTGTGTCTTCTCTCAGGGAGAGTGACTAGTCTCGAGTCATTGGTGTGAGTGACACCAAGACAAGCATGTAGGTGCTCAATAGAGAATGAGTTCACTGAACACGATCAACGAGGAGTTCTCATATTCATGTCACATGAGAACTCATGGTTGGGATAATGCAAAGTAGTCCTTTGACCTGAGGCATCACAGCTGTCTTGTGGTTAGGTACTTGATCTTTGATTATGTCAAAGTCACTCTATCAGGGTGTCCACGGCATCGTCGGGGTTAAGCCACTTAGCCATGGAGGCAAGTGAATGTGCAACAAGGGATCTCTAACCTTCAAACTATTTGAGGGAGAATACTCTATGATATGATTTAGAATCTCTGGCCAGAGTATGAATGAGATGTTGGAATGCGTTCCAGATCACATTCAAGGTAATCATATAAGCACAAGACTCACATTGGATAGTAGACATGAATTAACTATCAAACCAAACAATGTGGCCAAGAGTATTGTATTAGAGAAAGACCGTATTGCATTTGTAATCCTAAAACTAAATAGGTTCTCCACCTCTTCTGATTAGCTTGGGTAACCATGACATGCTGCTAGGCGTCAACCATGGTTTGTGGAAGCCCTAAAAGTGTATTATCACTAACGGGAGAATTGAAAGTAAGTTTCAATTCACAATCGATTAGAAAGAGTTTTTAATCGCCCACTGCCTCGCTAAAAGGAACCTAATGGATCGTTCACCGAGTAAGGTAGAGTTTGAAGAAACAACGGAGATGAGTAAGAATAATTAAATGGTTTAATTATTTATCTAAGGCTAGGATTAATTAATATGTTAATTAATCAAACGAATAAGTTCGTTAAAGACCTCGGGTTAGTTTTGGGCCGCAAGGCCCAATGGGATTTGAATGTCAAGCCCATTAACTCAAGTTGTATGACAACTTGAATAAACAAAGGGCTTGAAAGCCCAATGAACCCTATAGGCCGGCCATGATAGAAGAATAGGGCTTTTGGTCCATTAGGTCACTTATTTGAAGGGACTATATAAAGGACTTTATAGCCTAAAATTTACATGTGGTAATTTTTGGGGAAAGGATGAGAACACAAGCTCTCCTTTCTCTCTAAAATTTCGGCCACCTTGGAGGGATCATCTAGCAATCAAACTCCTCCAAGGTCACTCATTTCTTCTTCATTATGCCTTGGTGATGAATCATTAGAGGTTCTCAATTTTGGGAACTTGTAGAAACCTTTTCATCCATCCAAATCCATGGATCTAAGATGAAAGGAATGAAGGCCCTCTCTTTGGGTGATTAGCCTTTGCTTATGCAAAGAGGAATCTACAAAGGTATTGATTTCTCAACTCACTTTGTTTTGAGTTGAGTCTTGGTTCACCTATCTACTAGGCTTTGAAGTTCATGGGTTAAGTTTTGTTTTTGAGTGCATATAAACATGATTCCGCCTTTTAATTGTTAATTGCATGTTGTTGATGTTGCTCAAATGAACTTGTTTTTAACAAATCATCCTTCAATGAGGAGAAGGAAGAAGAAGAAGTTAGGGGAACATAGATGGTGTAATTGTGGAGCCAAAAATAATCAAGAGCCGACATGTGGATTTTTGGGCAAAAATGACAAAATTACCCTTGAGGAGCATCGGAATTCCTACGCTCGGGCAATGGACAAACATCCCACAATCAAGTCAAAAATGCCCAAAATAGGTAACAAATTCAAAGTTATTTCATCCATCCTCATCCTATATTTTCCACAAGGTAATTATTTCATAACCTTCAAAACATTCCATATAAATTGAGTTAATTGGCTAATTAATGGATTTATTCCTAATTAATCCATTAATTACCAATTAAATCACCCATTTCACAAAAAAAATACCCCAAAGTGCCGGCCACCTTTTC